CGTTGGTTCGTCGGTTTGTGCCGAGCTATGCTAGGGGACCTATAAGCAATTTTATATGCCTACATATATATAAGTATAATTTCTCTTATATAAGTATATATAAGAATACTCTCTCTCTTAGTATATATGTATATATAAGTATACTCTCTCTTATATATGTATACTCCCTCTTATATAAGTATACTCTCTCTTATATATGTATAATATGTGTGTGTGTGTGTGTGTGTGTGTGTATACTCTCTCTCTTAGTATATAAGTATATATAAGTATAGGATATTACAACGGTTACTTCTTCCCCATTGGCCCAACGGGCAATGACTACTTATGTGATTCTCTCTCTCTCAAGTTATAACTTATAAATATATACAATATATTTACATATAATATATGTATATATAATATATAGTTACATAATAATTTGTAAGTATATACTAATACATAATTATATAAAATATAATAATTTTAAACTAATTTTTAGCATTTTTTTATCAAAAAAAAAAAAGAAAAGAAAAAAAAATAAAAAAATCGGGCCGGCCCAGAGCCCGGCTCGGTTAGGCCCGGGTCCGGGTTCGGGCTCCGGTTTTGCCCGGCCCGGATGGACAGGTCTACTTGAGAGTGAGCTTATTTGTGTTCTCATCCATATCAGAGAACAAATTATTGTATTGAGCCTTCATTGTGAGGATACACCTTTGTAATACACTTGTACACCGAGAGGAGTGTGTGATGAGAGATGTGGTCGTCCTAACAGGAGTGGCGTCGGTAGTAAAGCCTATGGAGAGGTTGTAAATCCGAGCACTTGAGGGAGACACGGGCTAGAGACCAACACTTGGAGGGTGTAGAGTATGATTACAAGAGTGTTGATTGTAAAGTTTTCGATGAGCTAGAAAACCGAGTGTGAGGTGTAACTGTTTTCCGGTGAGCGTCAAAAACCCGGTGTGATAGTGAATTTCTCCCCAGGAGTAGGGAGCGGAGACGTAGGACGGAAGGTCCGAACTCCCTGATCATTTGCTTGTGTTTGAGTTTGTCATTGGCACATTTACGTTTGTATTTATCTTATATCTCCATTGTCTATTACTCTTTGTGTATATTACCCTATCACATTTGTAATTTGTTTATTTTACCCTTTGTTTATATTGCTTATCATTGCATATAATTGTTGCATATCTTATGTGTTAGGATAACTTGTTAATAAGTTTTTAATTGGCATAAATCGGATTAGATTAGCATAAGTCCTATTCACCCCCCCTATGGTTCTTTCCTAGTGACATTAGGGTCTAACACCATCCTCCGGAATGCAAAGCGATGTCCTACGATATAACAAACCATCCTCTCCAAGCTCATACTCCCCCCTTCGACCAGCCTTCACTTGCTCGAACACACTATTGTAGTCTTTACTGGATGTGTACATCTGCACATACTCCAAAGAAACCAATGGTTGAATACGCGTCGCCACCAATAAAGCCCTCACTGGCGGTCGAGATAACATATCGGCCAACTTGTTAGTCGTCCCCTTCTTGTACCTAATGATGATGTTAAACGCCATCAAATAGAACATCCACTTCATGTGTCGTGCCTAATGCAGCTTCATCTAGGCATGTAGGAACTCTAATGGCTTGTGATCCGAGTGCACAACCACATCTTTACCCAACAAATACACTCTCCAATGCTTGATCGCCTGATAAAGTGCATAAAACTCCTTGTCGTAGGTAGGGTAGTTCTGAATAGCACCCATGAACATCTCAGAATAGTACTCTACTAGCTTCCCATCCTGTATCAACACAGTGCCCATACCATAGCTAGAAGAGTCGGTCTCTACCTTGAAGGTCCTCTGCAAATTAGGCAACGCCAACACCGGTGCCTTCGAGATCTTCCTCTTCAGCAACTAAAAAACCTCCTCATGCGTCCTCCCCCACTCGAACCGAACCTTCGTCTTCGTAAGGCCATGTAAAGGTGCCGCATAAGTCGAAAAATGTTGAATGAACTTGCGCAAAATACTGGCAAGCCCCCATGAAGCTTCTCACCTCTGTCACTGTCTTAGGTGTCAGTCACTCCCTACGATGAAGCCGAGATACACCAACTCATCCTTCCTAAATTAGCACTTCTTCCCATTGAGCTTCAGTTGTCCGTTCTGCAGCACTTTAAACACCTTCTCGACATGAACAAGATGCTCCTCCCAGGTCCTACAGTACATCAAGATATCATTAAGGTAAACTATCACAAAATCCTCTATAAAAGGTCACAACAAATTATTCATGAGTCTCATAAAGGTCGCTAGAGCGTTGCATAATTCGAACGGCACCAACAACCACTCGAACATGCCCTGCTTGGTCTTGAACGCTGTCTTCCAAGTGTCATCCTCCCGAATCCTCACCTGATGGTAACCAGACTTCAGATCCAACTTTGTGAAAAACCTCGCTCCCTCCAACTGGTCCATAAGATCATCGATCCATGGTAGTGGGTAATGATTCTTGACCGTTATCTTGTTGAGCGTCCGATAATCCATGCACATGCGCCAACCTCTATCCTTCTTGGGCACCAACAACACTGGTGACCCGCAAGGTGAACAACTCGGCACTATCACTCCTGTCTCTAGAAGCTCATGAACCTGCTTCTTTATCTCCTCGGACTCCTGTACAGATGTGCGATCGAAAAAGAACTCTTGCCTTTCAGCATAATCTCATGCTCCACACCCTGTCGTGGTGGTAGTCCTGTGATCTCTGAAAACAAGCCCGCATGCTTGGCGTTCCATCTGTCAAGATCTCCCTCCTGAAGCTTGCTCAAGGTGGTCAAGCATATCCTACTCAGTTGCTCCTCACAAGGCCTAATGAATAATAATACAAACTTCTTGCTCGCATTCACTAGCCTCTTCGCCTGAGTCACCGTCACCAAGCTAGTCTCCTATAGAAGAGATGCCGAATAAAATATGAACTGTTCACCATCCTTGGTGAACGTATACTTCTGGGCCCTCCGGTCGTAGACTGTGTACCTATCCCACAAATAGGGATTGCCCAGTATAACCTGGTAAACATCTAACGGAACAACATCACACATGACCTCGTTAATATACGACTCGTGGAGTGCAAATCTGAAAGTGCATTGGCTGATAACACTCAATCCTGTCTCCTTCTGAATCCACCCTAAAGGATAGAGCTTCAGATTCTTTACCATCTTCAATCCCAGTTTCTGAACTAATGCATCGGATATCAAATTCTTCTAGCTCCCTGGATCAACGATGGTATCAACCAAGCTGGTCTTCACCTGCAACTTAAGAACAAAGAGCTGCTCTCTGAGGTCTTCTCTTCATTTGCGGCCTACTTTCTCGCCGTAAGGTTAAGACTACTGTTGGGCTCTGTCATCCCAAGAACTTCCTTCGAACCTTGTGCTATCACATATGCCTTTTTTTCCTCCTTCTTCTTCAACCCCTTCAGCTTCAGATGAGGATACTTCTTCCAGCACCGATCAACTACGTGCCCTATCTACTTGCAGTGATTGTAAGTTAATCCTGCCTTCCCTGGATCATCCTTCTTCTTTTCTTCCTTCGGTTGAGAGGCACTAGACTTGCCTCCAGCTTGGTTGGAATCTTCCATCATCTCGTTGCCCTTCTTCTTCTTGCCCTCAATGGCAATAGCCTTCACACTCGTTTCTGCAATGGACTCGACCGTGAACAGCTTTATCTCCTTCCGGATGTATTCATTCAGACACGCTATATACTTCATGAAGATTGAGTATTCCTCTGTTACGATATTGAGGACCATCGCCTGCTGCTGGAACTCCGTGTGTATTCTTGAACGGTCTGATTGAATCTTTGGCGCAAGCCGTACCACTTGTACCAACGTTCCTAAAGGAATCCCACGGGGTTGCACTGCTTCCTTAATAGCTCCTTGAGCTTGTTCCACGACATCGCCTTCTTCTCTTGTTTGTAGTAGGCTTTCCACCATGTCAACGCGTGCCGTGAAAGCTTCAATGTCGCAAAAACAATATTCTCTTTTGACGAATAGCCATAAAGAGTAAAATATGTCTCCATCTGCTCGATCCAATCATCAAGCCTCTCAACGTCGACACTCCCATCATAAACATGAATCTCCATTCTGAAATCTATCTTCAGATTCTAGTAAGTACCTTTACCCCCTTGATGTGGAACAATCTTGACGGTCTCGACCTCCTCATCAGAATCTGAAGCCTCGTTCTCCCCATCGGACTCTACGGGTTTCTTCTTGGGCTTTGAAGAAGATTCGCCCTTTTTGTCCCCTCCATGGATGAGATCGACGAGTTGTGTAAGAGTTGACTCTATCGTCTCGATCTACTTCTCTAATGCATCAAGCCTTATTGAATTGTCACTTTCTGTCATCTTTTTCTTCCTTAATTTCTGGATTTCTTCCAAGGAAATAAGAATCTCACCTAGCTTCTTATACTTTAATCGAGTAAGGACCATATATAGGATTCCCCCTTCACATGATCTGATTGTTCTGATACCAACTTGGTACGAGTCACCGTGCGAGCACATTTGATCGCAGAATTATCAAAGGTGGATTGAGAAGAAAACAATAGAAAACAAAAGAACAATTTAGTTGGCAAAGGAAAATACCTTCTCTAGATTATGAGTAATAAAAAATTACAAATCTCTCTCTCACAATATCACTAGAATTAAGAACAATCCCTCTATTCTCTTTGAATACAATCTGATTGCTTAGAAACCCTAAAACAATCCTATTTATATCCCTAACAACGTGGATGGCAATCTTGTAAATAAACAAGTCCAAACAAGCCAGGAAAACACGTCAAAAAGAGTCCCAGGAAACTCAGGAAACCCGATTTGGTCGACTGGCACACATGTCGCGATCGACCGGCTAGAGGGTTGGTTTCAAACCCTATAGGCAGATGTCACGCCCCGCTTCCCAAAATACACGGGAATCGGAACGTGAACAAGCCCGCGACGTATTAGATTGAGAAGAAATATACACTATCATTTTTTTCTGTTCTTTTCTTCTCAATCCAATACGCTAAGCATCTGGAAATAAATATAATGCAAAGGCACAGGTCCCCGATCACAGATAGCAAGAATATAATGAACAACACAGAACAAAATAATACATATCACAAATGAATATCATCCAAGATAGAAAAATACGGGTCAAACATGCCCTTATACAAATTGAACAAATGAATACTGGAGAAATGTAAAATACAATGATCAAACGGAAAGTAAATGCTACAAAAGCAAACTGAAAGGAAAACTAAGCTTCAGCTTCTTCTGCTCGGTCTGCAAAGCACTCCTGCGGAGGATCCTTCGGTTCTGGCATATCTCCAAGCTGGACCTGTTCTTCCTCTAAGTCTGACGTACACCAGAGAAAACAGGTGTACATCAGCGTGCATGGCACACGGCAAGACCCCACAAACAAATAGAATAACGAAAACTAAAGCGAAAAACGATACGATAACAGAATTGACAAAAGAACGTGCAACTAGAAATCTAACAAAATCAAACAAGTAACAAGTCGATCATGCAACTAACGATCAGAACAATCATCCAACTAACATGGTCATACAACTAGATGTAATTAATACTTAAAAATCTACAACAAGAGACGTAGTACGTCGAGCGAAATAATCCAAACAAGGAAACCCTCATGTATATACCATATATCTCAAATTGTAGATATTTAAATATTAGTCACGATCTATGTATGAAAAAAAACACAACTGACCTATATCTCACAGGAATTTATACTTAGCCAAGAAACGAGGTCATGTAACTAGCCATCCTAAAACTCACTGGTCCACATCTCACATAAAGTCAACATTCATATCACTGGATAACTGACTATTCACAAATCCTCTACGCGCATCCTATACCGCTACATGAATCGGTTAGAGGACTACACGCAATCCGATCTCGGCCTGGTTCTAACTCAGGCAAAGCTCAGGTGATGAAACAAGTCACAGACTAAAGTGACTACACAAATTCACTTTAACCCAACAAACCAACCCCAGTGACTACACGAAATCACTAGCGCGGGCTGGAAGATACATCAACAGTCACATCCAAGCACATGAACATTAACTTCATCATCCCAACTCTTCTCGTTTTTCTAAGTCAACCATAATCCTCATTAAAACTCGGGTTCACCACCTAAACTCAGTCAACACACTCACACATGTCACTAAGTCTATTCATGACGCACGAGGCCACTAAGTCATGAACTACTAAGGGTTCTCAACACAACATGGACAATCAATGCAACTAATCATGTGAAATAATATCATAGCATATCAGATAATCAAAAATAAGAATTATAAATCAGGAACATCAACTATGAAATTCAGAAATTAATTCCTTTTCCAAAATAATTTCTTTTAAAATTATCATACATTTTCCTCAAATGATTCCATTCTCAAATAAATTCTTTTTAATTAATATAATTATCCAAAAATAATTCTGCTACCGAAATAAATTCTTTTAATTCATAATAACTTTTCTAAAATAATCTTTTCTCAAAATAGTTTAACAATCCAAATAACATGTTTTTCCAAAATAAATTATTTTAATTTATCTAATTTAATAATTATTCAAAACCAACTCCTTTCCAAATAAAACATTTTCTCATCATAATAATTTTAAAAATATCTCAAAATAACCACTTTTGCAAAAAATAATTATTCCTTTAAATTACTCATCATAACATCATTATTTAATATTAATCATCAACAAACCCACGTAGATATATCACAACATACTACATAATCATAATACAGTCTATCTATGCATATAATTAAATTCACAGATCTAAAATTGAAATGACAGTCAATGAGCAAGAGGGATCTTGCCTGGGGGTTTGTCGAACGAATCGACGCTGACGGTGTGGGTAGGATCTGGCATGGGGAGCGTGGCATCCGAAGAAACTCCAACGAGGGGCTGTCCGGTGACGGAGCAGCGGCGGCGACCCGACCTCACTGAACCCAAGCTCCGCCCGAGCTCCTCCTTCACCCGTCGTCCCCTGTTCGAGCCTCTACCTCTGTCCTCTTGATAATCATATTTTATTATAATTTTATACCCTCATTATCTATTTTTAATGAATAAATATATCACTAATAATTGTTTTTATCTTTAATTGCAGGTTAATGAAGAATAAAGCCCAAAAAATCTCATCTCTCAACAAAAGCTCATGAATTAAATGAAGAACACAAGCAAGAGCCAAAAATCTCAAGCCCAGAATCAAGCCGAGTAACTTGTAAAAGCCGGAGAAAATAAAAAAATCAAATATGAAAACAAAATATATTCAAGATGGTTAGCCGCAAAGAAACGACGATATCTCTCAATCCGGAAGGCGGAATTTAACATATAATATATGAAAATCACCTATCTGGACGAGACGAAGCCATCTGTGGAGGTAGATTTTTAATTGGACATCGATGCCAGCATCGATGCTGGCATCGATACCGGTATCGATGCCAACATCGATGCTGGTATCGATACCTACGTTGTTCTGTTACAGATCAAATGCTGAAATTTGCTTATTTTGGATAAGATTTCAATCCAATGGCTCTCATTCACTGATATTTACTATAAATAGGGGTAGAGAGTGAGGGGTTGAGGGTGTGAAAATTTTTGTAACTTCATTTGGAGAGGAGGGTCACTCTTAATTGAGAAGGCCTTCCAAATTTGTAACTTTTGTTACAATTACTAAAATAATTTTTTTAACACTTTAAATTTTTCTTTTCTTCTTTTTGTTGGATGATGAAGATGAAGATGAAGATGGAGATTAATTTGAAGGTTTGTTTTTCTTATTTCTCTTTTATTGCTTATTAGTTTAGATTTATTTTCATGCTTGTAATTAGATTTTATTTTCTTGTTTAAATAGCCAAGAAGCTAGAACCCTCTTGCCTTAGATTTATTTTATGCTTATAGATTAGATTTATTTCATGCTTATAGAGTAGATTTATTTTCTTGTATTTAATTTTTGCAATTTATTTTGTAGTTTAGATTTTATAATTTATTTTATAGTTAGATTTTAATTTCTTGTACTATTCACCTTGAGGCTAGAACCCTCTTGGGTTTAGTTTTTCTTTTTGTTTATTTTTATTTATTTTTTTTGATTCGCCTTTAGGCTAGAACCCTCTAGGGAACTACCATTTTCTAAGAAGTGGATTCAATTCTAGATTACCCATAT